AGAGAGGATATTGAGAGGGACATCAGGGAAAGGGACAGAGATAGAGGAAGGGAGGCGACACAAAGGAAGGTTGTGAGGGAGAGGTACAGCGGGCGGGAAAGAATATACAAGCCCCCTGGTGGTGACAGGGCTTTTTTCAGTGACTCTGATGGGGATAGCTCTTGGTAGTTTGAACCTTTTGGTAGGTCGGAGTGGTAAGAAGACGAGGGGAGCGAGGGCAGGTGACCATGAGTAATGGGAAACCGCTGACGATGTTACGATACCTCTTCTCGTTGTACCTCTATAGACCAGCATTGGTAAGCAAGGTCAAAGGGATGAAGGCATGACTAAAATGGGAAAGGCATGATTATGATCACAATTACTGTCTAGGATTTCTGAGGGAGATATCAGGCTGCATGTTCGCTTCCCTTGTTAATATCAACTCCAAAGGCGTTGCAACGGTTTCATAGCATGTCGTTTCACTTTTAAAAAGCTGCATTCTATTCTTGCTTCTTTACATCTCTGAGTCCCAAACACCTCTTTGTCCTATTGTGATTGTGCCTCCTTACGTTTCAACCGGATATCGGCAGGTTGTGTAACTTGACGTCCCTGTTCAGTCCAGGGTCTCCGTGGAGAGACCATCAGACCACCCTCTGACACCCCTATGACGTGCGCCTGCTCAGGGTCAACATTGTTCCACGACCTCTAACCTTCCATCAGATCAGGAGGAGACTTATTAAAAGCCGAGCTGAAATCCAACATTGTGAAGCAGCGCACATCCTAACTAACTCTATGTTCCCAAGCTCTCAATCCACATTATGGCCACCCCAAGCGAGCCCCCTCCTTCCTATGAGCAAGCCGTCGAGGATGGACCTGACTCCCTCCCCGCCCAATCTCGCAATGGCATCCCCCTTCACGCCCGCCGGAGCATGGAAGATGAGCTCAGGCCTCTTCCTCAAGGCTGGGTGCGCGAGTTTGACCCAGAGACCCAACATCAGTTCTTCGTCGACACCAATTCCTCCCCTCCTCGCTCCATCTGGCACCACCCATATGACGACGACGCCTTTTTCGCCTCTCTCTCTCAACCCAGGAGCGAGAGCGCATTCAAGGCTCGCACTCTGCCCACCACCGCCGGCCGAGCGCCGCGGACATCGCCGCGGAGGAAACCGACGGCGACTCCGACTCTGGTGCTTCCTCTCACAAGAAGGAGCACCGCTCCCTTGGCCGCAAACTAAAGGACCACCTCACCGGTACCACACACGAGGAACGCGCCGCTGAACGTGCCCGGCGTATGTCTGCCGAGCGGGAAATGTACCGGCAGCACCGCATCCTACGCCGTGCGATGCATGAGACCATGCGGTCTGGCCGGCCGCATTTGCTGGGAAGGGATGAGAACAGGGTGCATGTGTTTCTTGAACCGCCGGGACATACATTCCCCGGGGTGACGGGTGTGAAACAGGTTAGCCCGTATCTGGCCGAGGTTGAGTATGACAATAGCGATGGGAGAAGTCCAGGACCGTCAGGAAGGTATTTCAGGCCTGAGTGTGAGATGTATGGTATGGGGTATGGAGCGTATGGGTGTGGGAAGTTTGCTGGCGGGCGGTGGGACAGGCCGGGGAACGTGTACAGGCGGCCCGAAGGGAAAGGATTTGGGGGTGGGCTCGGGATTCCGTTGATGATGCCTCTTGTTGGCGGGATGATGTTAGGAGGTTTGATGGGAGCGGCGGCATTCTGAGCCTAACTGGAAATTGAAAGAGTGTGTCCTCCGCAGGGTCACGATACTCAACACATTCAGCAGTTAAATAAGGGGCAAGTTCAGAAACTATGTTGAGCGTTTTATACAAAAGCTTGAAAAAGATATATTCTGCACTGGAGATATCTTTGGCTTGAGTCTTTTTTGAAGACAGCCGAATGGTTTTCTTATGACATAACAGAGAAGTCTCGGAGTGTTGGGCCCCTGAAGCTCCACCAGTCATTGTCCAATACACAATGTGAAGGCTCCCTGGCCACCCCTTTCTGCTGTTCCAGGGCATTAACAGTGACTTAGGTCCACTCCCTTGAGATAACCACCCGGCCATGTGCTGTTCGGCACTTCTCTACCCAGAGTTCGGCATCCACCCGTCATCGGCCATCTCAAAACCCTCGAGATCAAAACCAGGGGCAACTGGTCAAAAACGTCAGTGACGCAACTCACTTCAACACAGAGTTGCAAGCATACCAGTTGTCCCAACGAGAGTCCAATCCCCCAAACTCCTTGCTCGTTGCCACTCCCACTTTGCAATGGCCACCTGGGGTTGCTCTCCGGCAAAGAGATCCGGTCCCAGGGTCACCGTTCGCACTGGAGCCCCGTCATCCTCAGAAAGAGAGAGCGTTAGGGGTGAGCCGGCGTGGTAGTGCCACAGCTCAACAGCATCGACACGGTGCCACCGGGAAAACCCGGCGGACCCTTCAAGGAGGTAGTAGATAGCGGTGCTGGCGGAGCGTGCTGGAGTACTATTTTCGGTTGTGGTGACATTGGCGGGGTCTCGGAAGGTCTCAACGTAGTAGCCCTTTTCAATGTTTGGGGTGAGCTTGAGTTGAGCTATGACTTCTTGGGCTGTTCTTTTGTTGATAGGGGTTGGGTGATGGTGGTGACCTCCTGGGCTTCGGGCATCCTGAGGGCTTGCCACTGCTGTGGCTGCGGCGAATAGCTGTGTCCCTGACCGATGCAGTTTAAGCAACATGAAAAGGAGACTTTGAAGAACGCGCATGGTGTTAATGTGCAGTGTAAAGTCTTAGGGAGCTTCAACGAGAGTCTGAGAGACAACTATAGTCTCAGTCTTCGGGGATTAGGTACCTGCTGCTGCAAGAGATGCTAAAAGACTAAACGGCAATGTCAGCTGAAGAGTGCTGTCTCGCTTTGAAATGTTTATTTTAAACTGCCTGAGCGGTGAGACAGTCCCTGCCGTACTTCCATCAAACTGGTCAGCACAGCGGTGCCGCGATGGTGCAATCCTTCCGCCCCCACGGTCCATTGAAGGTGGGTGTTGATCTTTGGTGCACTCCTTCCCTGGCTTCCTTGAAGTTTGGCCCCCACGGCCCACCGAATGGGCATTTTTTCAACAGCCAACTCGCCCAAAAGCCCCCTTGTGTGACTGCAGCAGTCAATTATTCAAGCTAGGTACTCTCGTGTGACGGCGAGGAACAAAGAACCAGCTTGATCAAAATGGATTGGCATCTATTTCAGGGGGTATTATAACGTTTGGGCGAGCATCAAGATGGATAGGCAGATCTATCATCTAGCGCAGGAGCCGATGATGGCAAGATCTAGGTAAAATAGATAGAGAAGTCTCAATTACTGTAGAAGAAACTTGGAGTGTTGTAACCCAGGAGAACCGCAAAAGCGATAGAATAAGGTCAAGAGCGGAATCAATTAAGACAGCAACTTAACCCAGCCGGCCATGAAACAAGAGACTCTAATAGTATCTCGGAAGAGAAACATGGAGGACATAATGGAGAGAACGCCATTGAAAGACTAGAATTGAAACTAGAGCTCCTGACGGGTTGGAGAGCAACCTGGTTATAATAGGGAGTGCAAATGGCCAAAGTGATGCTCGAAACTAGACTGTTATTCACATTTGATTACCTAGTACTTTTATCTCATCGCGAGAATTTGGGTTCAAAGTTGTTCCAATAAAGCAAACCTAGCAGGCTCAAAAGGTCTCGGTTTATTTCTGCAGAGTTGACTAAATAGCCTCGGCCCTTTGTTTCTGTTTGAAAGGTTGGCCAGCTCTTGAGCGTGGATGGTCTCACTCACTAATCTTCAGTTGTGAAGTTGGTGTTGTCGAATCCTGATAAAGCCCTTACTCCCTGTGGAGTACTATGTATAGTACTGGATTATCGAGATTATGAGTCACACCGAATGTGGCACTAACTTTAGCTTTTTCAGGAAGGTGCTTCTAGAGCCCAATCGCTTTATGAAACAGTTGAACTGCAGGTTCGTAACTGAGGACCCCACATCTGAACATCCTGGACTTAAACCTCTCACAAAAGTCCGTCGATAATTTCAACACCAGCCCCTCAACTCAAGAAAACAGTTTTAACTCGCCAATCGATGTAAGCTCATTAAACCACTTCAGTGGTTAAACCTCAAGTTACTCAACGCCGGGCGACTTGCCTGCTAACACTGCATGACTGGTAGCAGCGTCTACTAAGAGCATTCGAGCCATGGCAGATCATCAAGCACACTTCGATCCTAAACTCTTTGAGCTCTGCGTCCAAGCCTTCGCTGGCATTCCGTCCACGGACGACAACCATACCGTCGCTGCCGCAGTGCGCAGCACCTCGGGCAAAACTTTTGTCGCGATGAACGTCTATCATTTTACCGGTGGCCCTTGCGCTGAGCTTTCCGTTCTTGGAACCGCTGCTGCAGGCGGGGTGCTGGCTGACAACATCGACACTATTGTTGCCGTATGCAGACGGGAGGGCAACGTCTTCAGAGTTATCAACCCCTGCGGTCGATGCAGTCAGACAATGCTTGACTACAACAAGGATATGAAGGTCATTGTCTTGGACAGGAATGACAATGAGGTAGAGACACGGGCGCAGGAGTTGATGCATTATCCGTCCATCTGGGAGGATGGAAATACAGGAAGGAAGGAGTCGGAGAAGAAGAGGGCTGGTTTAGATACGGCACAGTGATCGTTAAAGAGCTAAGGAGTCTAGGCAGTGCAGTACTTTGGTTGAGGGGACAAAAGTTGGCAATAACTTGTCACTCAGTTGAACGTCATCTTCCTCAAAGTTCAAAATGCGTAGCTTGGATGTTAAGATAAGTTGTCCTTGTCGAATGAACAGAAATTAAATGACACCAAAACTGCTTTTACATCCCCGAAGTTTACTGTATGTGTATTATCGCAGGGGATATTCCAGGGCTCAAGAAAATGGAGTCTGGCCAGCAGAGGAGGGAGAGTATTGAGTTGCATGGGATGACAGTGAAGGTCCACTCAAGTAGCCTTGTATTGGCAGCTAAAAATAACTTGAAAGCCTGCTTAGCATAGTGGCTAATGCGTTGCACTTGTATCACCCCGACGACATGCAAAGATCACAGGTTCGATTCCTGTAGTAGGCATTTTTTGCCAACCCTACTCAATTTCCATTCCGTCTTCATTGTTTTTGCCCCGGCCCAGCCGAGCCTGCCTCCCTCTTCAAACGGGTCGGGCCTGAACTTTCTGTCTTTATCCTCTCTCGTTTTCGGAGAGAAGCGATCGCAATCTCGCCAGAACCTAACTAAATCGGCCGACGGCAATGGGTACTGCATATCTCTGATACGAGCGGCCCTCCGTTGACCCGAGCCTTGTCTCAGCTCCTCCAAGTCGGTCAGGTCGCGGTCCTAGTCCGCCACCTTCTTACGCCTCGAGAGATCTTGTCCATGCCTGCGTTGGTTGGACATTCTCCTTCTCTGATCGTGCTGAGCCTCGTGGTTCCGGAGCTTGAGTGCTATTACAGCAGCGCGGCCCGCCTTGGGCTGACCTCCATTTTTCGCACCACCATCGTCGTCTTCTAAGTCGGAGTAGTCGAGCAGTGAGTTAGGACCATGAGCAAAATGCTCACTAACCTTGCGCTGAGGTTCCGGTGGCGCGTCCTGGTCGACTGGGGCAAGCTCCTCTTCCATAACTCCGCCGCGGAGGTGTGCTTGAACTATCTCAATGCTCTCCTGCTCGTACTCTTAAAACTTCGTTTGGATAAGCTCCCCAAGCTCATCCTGAACCCCCTCCCAGTCCCGGCGGTGCAGCGGCGAGCTTGGCGTTCAGCGTGATAGGGCATGCAGAACTCTGCGTCGAACTCCTTCATCCAGCGTGCCGGACGCAGAAGATCGCGGCGGGTAAGTTCAGCTATGTGGCTGTCCGCCATGGCGATCACCGTGCCGTAGAGGTAGTCGTTGGTGGGGACTCATCTCTCCATTCGTCCTCGGTCGTCCAGTTCAGACTGCCGTAAAAGTCAGCGGTAAAATCCCGGTGCCTCAACTTGATGAGCCTGTAAAACAGATCTTTGAGCGCTTCACTGTAGCTGGTTTGCTGAAAAGTCTGCTTGAACACTTGTTGTTCCTCACTCAAATCACGCTTCCCGCCGTTGTAAGCCGTTTTGTGCGTGCCCAACGCCAATTCTCTCGCTCTTCTGCCCATGCTTGTGAGCATCAAGTCGACGATGTTCGTGGCAAAAAAGCTCTTGTCCCTCAGCGTCTCTGCTTCCTGTAGCCCCGGGTTTGTCGCCTTGCAGAACTGGTCCTTGCGCTCGTATTCCGCTTGTAAGCCAAAGCCAAAGTCGCCCAGGATTATCTGCGGGAGCTCGTTGCCAAAGTACCACAGTTCTGGGTTGGCCTTCTTTTCTTCCTCAGTCGGATAATGAAGCCATACGTTTCCGCTGTGAAATGAGAGATGGGCTCCCAGTCCGGCACACCCTTTGCCTTGTTGACGTCCTTCGTCGGGTTGAGAATGTCGTTTCTGTGCTGCAGGTTGTACTGTCAGGACGGATAGTAACCAGTATACATCCACGCCAATGCCCGACCGAGCTGGGTGATGACATGCCAGATAAAACCCAGGGGAACGGGCAGTTGAAACTGCTCATGGGCCGAGATAACATCGAAGAGCCGCCCCCCTTTATAGTACTCATAAAAGACTGTGGCATTCATGTCTTTCCACTTCCGCCTCCTGGTGCTACGATAATGAAGTTGAATGGCGTTTGTTTGGACAAACGGTGTTGGGATGGCGTTCAGAAAGAGAGGCAACTGCCTCTGCACAAGCTGGTCGTCGGTGCTGAGCGAGTTGAGCTCGAGCTCTGGCGCGATCGGATCGGCCGCATCGGAGTTTTTTATTTTCTGCCGTACTCCTTCTTCGTGGCTCTTCAAGGAGTACAGCACAATGCTGTGATGAGAGGAATATGAAAAAGATGACATTGTTGCTGAGAATGGACTGCTAGTTGGAGGCAGGACAATTGGTGAAGCAGACAGACTGGCGGACAAGTGTTGGAATAAGTCTCAAAATGCGAAGTCTTGAAGATTGGGGGGGGGCATTTATGTCTTGAATGCGCTAGTTATGTCTTTGTTCTTTGTGTCGTAAGCTGATTGCTTGGATATGAGCAAACCCTAATATTGTCACATAAAGCCTCCATCCGAAAGCATCAAGGGGTCTATCCAAGTTTTGCTAATTGTGGCCATGATGTTGAAGACAAAGAGCAAAAAAGCAGCACAGCACTCGAACAAAGGCCGTGACTGAAGTCTGCACTGTTAGCCATTGGTTTTGTTGCTCTTCTCAGTCATCCCTCGAGTTTCTCAATGTCAAATAAGAATTCTGTGTCGGCTTGGTCTGGAGAAAAAAGTGATCAGTCTTGTCGTAGTCGCCGATGCGTTTTAAGAACCAACCAAACATGACACCTCTTTTCTCCAATGTTGGATAATAGTTGCTGTACGCCCCAATGTCTACTTTTGCCTCACGAATAAATTTCCAACTGCATAAAGCCTCTAAGACATGGGACATCGCTCGCCGGCACGTTCGGGGGTTGACAGAATTAGGATTGTTTGACCCCTTGTGACTTTCGGCTACTCCCGGTCCGGGCCAAAACAAGAGAATTGTAGATGACTCAGTCTGAAATAACTTAATCATTGTATGGTATTTTACTAGTATTTGGTGGTAGCAGTGAACAGTAACTATTCTTTATATCGCCCCCCAGTCCTGTAAATATTCCCTTCTTGAAGTCTGTCCAAGCAAGATATTTAAGGGCCGAAGCTGTCAACATTAAGCTTTTCGATGCAAATCCCAAATCTCTCTCAGTTATTCAGAACATAAGTCAACCACCCTGAATTTGGCCATACCTAAATCCATTGTAGATTTGGATTTTTACTCTCAGTACAAACACCTTATTGACTAGTAAGTACTAATATTACATCTGCCCAAATAAACTTTAACCCTGGCAATTAGAAACTTTGTTTAGAAACATAACTTATTCTAAAGATTTAGATGAAGGAGCAGCTTATCAATTTACCTAAGACGGGAGGCAACCCTTCACTTTGACGGCCAGGCAGCCTCCCCGACAGCCATACGGGCTGGAGTGCCTCAGGGTTCTCCCCTCTCTCCGGCTCTCTTCATTCTCTATATTGCCTCTCTATACAAGCAGCTAAAAGAACAACACCCCCACCTAGCGATAGCTGGCTTTGCAGACGACACCAATCTCTTAGTCTTTGGCCGAGACCCGGAGACCAACGTCCGACAGCTGGAGGCGGCCTAGGAGACTGTCTGCGATGGGCGGACACCCGAGGGATGGCCTTCGCTCCCGAGAAGAGCGAACTGATTCACTTCAACAAGGGACGACGGCAGTGGACCAACCAGCTCGACCTCGCCCAGCCGGGGAGAGGCACCAGTCCAGTGAAGCCGACAGAATCAGCTAGGTTCCTAGGTGTCTGGCTGGACTGGAGGCTCAACTGAAAAGCTCACCTGGGGGCAGTGGAACGGAAACTGGTGACCCAAAGTTATGCTCTGTCAAAAATCGCAGCCAAGACGTGGGGACTGGGTCTGGCGAAGGCACGGGAGGTGTACTCAAAGTGCATCCGGTCGGCGCTAGCTTATGGGGCTTCATCTTTTCACATCCCCACGGAAAAAGGAGGCAAGCCAGCAACGAAGGGGATCACCAAGGATCTTGGGAAGGCTCAAAACTCCTGTTTGCGGATTGTGGCGGGAGCTTTCATATCCACTCCAATCCGCAATCTTGAAACAGAAACATGGGTGCCGCCATTGGACCTATACCTCAACAAACGGCTTGCCGACTTCGAAACCAGGCTTCAACAACCCGCTCTCGATAACGGCCAAGGAGGCAAAAAGGCCCCAGAGACAATTGTCCACGCAGCTTGCAGCAAGATACGCCGGAGATTCTACTCAAGGCCGAGCAACAGGGGCCGACCGCGGGCCTTTAGACCACAGAGGCCGACAGCGGTAGAAGAGGCCGCAGGAGTAATAGCGCGTTGGACCGGGGGAACCACCGACACGGACAGGGTAGTCGAGGAGGCTTGGAGAGAGAGATGGCTAGAGGGACGAGACGGTCGGGCGACGACGAGACCAGCGGACGACCCCGACCACCAGCAGAAGACTCTATTCAAGGACAAGACTCTCAAGAAGCACGAGGGACTGAGCAAAGCGAAGAGCTCGTTGTTGGTCCAAGTCTGAACTGGGGACATAGGCCTTCGGGACTTCTTGTTCAAACGGGGTGTCCAAAGTGTGCTGACGCCCTGCTGCGAGTGCGGCGAAGGGCGGGAGACTGCTGAACACCTGGTGGTGTGGTGTTTGGCCCCACCGCTGACTCGGACGTGGGAGAGAGCAGAAGTCAGGACGCGACGAGACTTTCACTCTGTTATACAGGGTGCCAGTCCTTCAACTGCTCGGCTGACGAGGAGGATACTGGGCTGGCTGATGGATTCAGGAAGACTGCCGATGTACAGCTTGGCTAGGAAGCTCGAGCTGGAGTAGGCAAACTGACTCCCACCGGTCGGAGGCCAAGAGGCCTTCTCTTTTTGTATTTTGCAGGCTCATTCACAGAGTTTCTGCCCTTAACCATCGGTATAGGTTTTTCACCCGGCCCGCAAGGGCGCGGTTTTCCTGTATAGTAAATGTCTGAGGGTCCGACATGCCCGCAGGGCACAGCGGTGTAGGAATAACAATAATAATATAATTTAACTTACCTAATTTTATAACACAGTTGATGCGGTGGGAACTAGTAGGGTTAAATTTCTCATACCTAACTCTGAGGGTTGTTTGAGCAAAAGGCCAGAATTAGGTGTGGCTAGATTTGGGGCAACGTTAGTTAACGTTTTAACTATGTAACTAGTTGACTTTTGCCAGACGCCATCCTCCGTGTCCTACGAATCAAAAATTGCCCCATAAGCCCTCAACCCCCTACTCTCAAGCCCATACACAACCTTCTTCGTAACCTTCTGATTCGAAATAATCACAACCGCCTCCCCACTCCTTTGTCTTCCCTCCACAACCCTTCCCTGCTCCATCACTCTGTACGCCAACCTCACCAAATCCGGCCTGCTACTCCCCTTCCCCCCTGCACTCGTATCAATAACCACCGCGTCCTGAT